GTTCTTTTCTTTCTTTTTTTAGTTTTACTATTTTCAGAGTAATTTGATTTGTTTTAGGACTGAATGATGTTAAAGCATCATTTTGTGGTTTAGACAATAAAATAAAAAATCACCAGAGAATAATAGCAACGTTAAAAATCTAAAAAAGAGTCAGTGAACTATTATTTTACACACGTGTTCCTTCTCAGATATCTTAAATACATTTTACACGAGTTCTAGCTGATATTATAGTGAAATTAATTTTTACACACTAACCTCAGCAGCCCACCGTCATTAAATACATTAAATGCAGCCTGGATAGCAGTAAATATATGTATATATATATATATATATATATATATAGTATCACCATCTCATCTTTACCGTTTTCAGAATCTAGTATTTAATTTTTTTTAGACTACCAGAGAAACCTTTTACTGTCCCTTTACTTTTCTCTCCCCCTCTCCACTTGAGCCTCAATAATTTATGGCATCCCAAACATGACTCCGAATAACATTCTTGCTCGTGAAAAATCAGTGCGATGGCGGAGGGCAGCACCAGGAATCCCCAGACTGAAAATGCATCGGGCCAGACTGACTTCACGTGTAAAGTGAACATAATAAATGAGAGTTTGAGAGCAGAGAGGGACTTCCGAAAGCAGAATTCCTCCTCTCTTATTAGCGGAGTGCAGAGGACACCGGATTAACTGTGTGGTCAGGACGGAGTGAAACACACTCAGACGTGAAGTAGACTGTAGGCTTATATATAAATACTGGAAGAACAGCTTTAGTTTAGGTTTACTTCCACTATGGAACACTTTGTAAAACAGAGGGGAGGATATATCATCTGTAAGATTAAAATAGAGTAAAAATTAAATTACATTAAATTTTTAAAAAAATAATAATATAAATGTCAATAAAAAATGTAAATAAAATACAGCAGAATTTAGGGAAAGAAAAAGCCAATAAGGAACAAAAAAAAAATCACTATTTTACGCACAATTCTTGCGCTCTTTTCTGCTTTATTACACTTTATTATTTATTATACACACATTATTTTCGTATCTAAACCATATTGCTGCCAACTTCCTAATAAGCTTAAAGCCAATGTTACTACCTATTCTGTTGTATCTGGGAATCATCCATCTCCTCATACTTAGTCGGCCTCTTCAGGGCGCCATGTTGCGCTCCTCCTTAACACAAAAGGAGATCTATTAATGTTTTTGTCTTGTTGTGACGCCGTTTTCTTTGATCGACAGTTGGGCCACCCGGTAGATGGACGTGATAACAATCTACCGGGAAGAGGGGTGACCCCCAAAAAAACGGGGAAAAAAAGAAAGAAAGAAAAAAAGTTTGATGCTCCTTGTAGGCTGTGTGTCACGAGACATTAAACAATTTACATGATGGATCTGCGCAATAAGGAGCGGGCGTGCGCGAGGAGAGCACGGCGCCGCGTGACTGGTAGCCGGGCTGTTTGACAGCTTCAGTCCCGCTTCAGACATCAGAGGGAAACCGTGTGGAGGACTAATAAAGATTTACAGGGTCAGTGGAAACAGTAAGACGCTGTACTGTTAACACATCCGCCCTCTGCTCCCCTTTATTCACAACAAAACCTGCACTTATTTCATTATTAGTTCATAAAATCAGGCTTTTGGCTCCTCTGGAGGCTTCACTGCTTGTTTCGTGTGTGCTTAAATTCAAATTAACTTTTTTCATTTTAATCTATCGACTGATTGCCAGATTCCTAAATCCTGATTGACATCCGACACGTTCTGTTTATCTATTTCTTTTTGCATTTTATTAGAGCTGCTGTTAAATTTAACAACGATGCCTTTCACTGATGAAATAACGTTTAGATAAATGCTGCCTCACTGGATGCCCCGTTTGGGCCTACTGGTTGTTTTAACGCACGTTTTGTATCAAGTGGCCTCATAGTGTTACCGTAGAAAACCCATTAATATTTAATTTTGTTCAGTCGTGCCACGTGCCTGCGCTGGTTTCTTTAACGTTGTTTATTTGGGTGTTAAATCTGATCTAAAGGCTGTTGGAGTTCCATTAGCTTCGGAGGAAATGTGCATATTGTGGCATCGCTGATATTCTGAGGATTTAAGTTTTATTGTGGAGCGGAATACTTAGGTGGCAGTTTAATTCTTTATTTATGGTTGGCTATAAGCTGTGACTGATGTTGTATAAAATTGAGATTATCTGCATTTTACGTCCTGTTATATCACTCACTGCTGTCCCTGTCCTTCACCGATGAAACACAGTGGTGCCTGATAAAACACATCCACTCAACCTGTAACAGATATTCTGTTGTTGTCTCGGTTTTCTGGATGGTTGGAGTTTGTAAATTCATCTGGGCGTAGTTTAAGTTTGGTTTAAATTACAAGCTTTCCTTTGCTACAAAAGCAGCTGGAGCTGGGCACTTAAAAAGTGTGCGCGCGTATGTGTCTGCTCAGAATCAAACAGGCCCGAGCTCTGGCGCAAAATGAGCCCTCGGAGGACTAGAATGGTGAGCCTTGGAAATGTTTGTATCCACGACGCTGTTTTACTCACACCCATCCTGCCTGGAAAATACAAGGGCGGAGGGCGGACAAAGATTTTCTTGTGCCCAAGGACGCATATCACCACAGGGTGGGTGTGAGTGTGCGCGTGTGTGTGCCCTTGTCCATCAGCTTCATAGTTAATATTAGCACACACAGACATTTTTACAACTCTTAATCCCTTATTGAAACCATTTTTACGCACACGATGGCTGTGCGTAAAAATGGTGATCCATCCGTTTGATCCATTTGATCCAGAGGGAGAGAGAACATATGAGTCAGATCAATTTTACGCCTTCAAAAATCACATAAACAGCAACCAACAGCATCTGCTGTTTTGTGTCAATTCATCAACCTTTCAGCGAATGCATTATCCAGGCACTCTAACCAGTCCGCTTTAAAATGCAAGAAGGAAAAACGACACTGCACAACCTGAAACTAGTCTTTACGCAGGCTGAGCGTCATTCCAACCAACTTTTTTCTTTTCTCTTGATTTTACATTTTCTGAAGTTTGGGGTGTTACACACACACGTACACATACACACACACACACACACACACACACACACACACACACACACACACACAGGGAGACACACTGATACAGTCCCACTGTACCAGAGTCATCCAGTTTGTGTTTACCAGTAGCCACCTCTCCGCACTGAGAAACACAGTCTCCTGAGTGCCGGTGCGCCATCATTACGCACACACCAACATGACGCAAATGCACTTGGGGATACAGACAACTGCGCGCGTGCATACACACCAGCGCATCCATAATCTCACTCTGTCGCCATCTGTGACGCCACGACTGTCGCGCGGCCCCTTACTAGCTACAACGAGGTATCTCAAATATCTCAAACACACCGGAGCTTGGCGGCACTCCGCTAGCACGTTAATACAGGAGCACTACACAGTGACTGAGTGACATGGTAATTACACCCCCCCTCCTCTCTCTCTCTCACTTTACCACCCCCACCCTCTCTCTACTTAGCCCCCACTTACAGGCAGCCTTCAAACTCTACTTACTGCGCGTCCGGACTCTTTCTCTCCACCGGGTTTTCCCAGCGTCCAGAGCGGAACAGATAGCAGATCGCCGGGCTCCGAGTGTGAACCGGAGCTGAAACAGCGGCCGGTAGTAGTGGCCTGCTCTCTCTCTCACACACACACTCCCTCCCTCTCCCGCTCTGTCTCTACTTTACTGACCCCTTTAGGATCCCCGCGAAGCCGTTAAACCGTCACTTGCTTTCTAGAATGTGAAATATATAGTACATTGTCAACTCCCCAAAACCATAAAACTAACTTTATGGACCCCACGTGACCAGAGGAGAGCCAGTGAGAGGTATCAGTCTGAGGCCGGGCCTGATCTTTACGATCCAACTTGGAGATAAAAACCCTCATCTGTTTGACATGTAAATGTCAAAGCTGCCTTCTTTTTTATAGTTTGGCCCAAAGCAGAAGGGGGTTAGCTTTAAAAAAATATCTCAACACACATACACACACAGACGAGGCAGGAGATAGAGGTTGTGTCCAGATGAGGCTCGAAGCTGGACCTCGTCCCCCCCATGAGCTCAGAAACAAAGCCGTGTATGAGCAGGGAAACTGCAGCACCATCAGCCGGTGAGTTTAAAAGTTCAGTTGGTTGTTTACAGTTGGAAATCAGGAGAAGGTAACCTAATTTGTCCGGGAGTGGCCTCCGTTCGGGCGGAAAAGGGAGAAAAGTGACCAATTTGTCCACCGCGAGTAGTTTGTTGTCTTGTCAGACTTGGTCAACAGAGATGGAAACTGGCCTGTGTGCGTGCGCGTGCATGTGTGTCTCTGTGTGTTTTATGCAGCTTGTTTAGTGATTGGTGAGATTGGCGCTGTGATGCTGCTGTGATGCAGGAGGCTGTCGCCTTGGAAATGTGGCGTTTAGAATTCAAGGCCTTAGAACTGGTGTTTTATGTGATGCGTATTTACGCACGGAGTACTTTGGTTTTTCCACATTGAATAAGTTGGCAATAGTGAAACCTTACATTTGTTAAGGCTAGATTTTGCATTAGATGTCACAAAATGCTCACAAAAATATGCAGAAAGAGGCGGAAACTAAAATTGGAGCTTGTTGGTTTTTTTCCTGTAAGAAGTGAACTGGTTTTGAACAGACATCAGCGCAAACCTACGTACAGTTTGATCCGGATCAAGCCACACGATCCCAGGCTTTTTCTCATCCCAGGCAGCCTTTCTAATATAGACTCGCATAGTTACCAAACTCAGAACTGTGCAGCTGACAACTGATGCTGTCCAGAGACAGAGATTTGCATATGAAATATAGAATATGTTCCAACAAAAAAATGTTCCAGTTTGAACTGATTGAACCAGTTTTCTGCTTCAGCTCCAGCACATCACAGAGGCTTCTGAAACGTTTGGCCCGTGTAAACCCCAATCCCTGCTAAGCCATTTGTGCGGCAGTTTGGTTTATGAGCAGCTGTTTAAGTCTGTCTGGTTTTGATGAGTATGAGGAACTTTATTGTTGTTTTTTTTTTTGTACTCCAAGTTACAAACAAATACAAAAAGCTCACTGGCAGAAAGCTTACAGGCCTCAGAGGACGGTAGCCATTTCCCTTACATGCCTACACACACTCTCTCACACACTCCTCATCCATGCGCGCACTCTCACACTGCAACTACAAAGAGCCAACTGGTCACATTTAAAAATGTCAATATATATCTATATACATCATTTCTGAAACATAGATCCAATAATTACAATAATAATAACAATATAATACAGGTACACTTTTTTCCGAATAATAGAGCTATACACACAGTATGGATGGGTACGGAGATGAAGGCAGCTCTGATTTGTTTTCAACAAACACACTCACACACCTTCCCTGCGTCCTCAATAAAAATAGGAGCAGATTTGAATGGCAAGTCCGAGAGAGCGAGTGGGGGGGAGTGTGGGGGTGGGGGGCTTCAAACTAGTAGGATATACACGCGTTACTGGATGTAAATAACTTACAGTAAGAGCTCACATGCTGACTTCTCTAGAAAGCACTTGGTCAAATACAAAACATCGGCACTTGACACATAAAACGATATTTAGACATTAAACAATAGGTAGGTAGCAAGGTTGTAGGTAGGACGTAGGTAGAAACGTAGTTAGGTAGCATATTCATCCTCTGCTCTCCTCTGGACAGCGAGTTTAAAAACGACGACAACATACAAGAACACTAAGTTTTGATTTTTTTTTTCTTTCTTTTGTTTCTTTTCTTTTTTTTTAAACAAGAGCAAGTACCACAGTCATTATTTTTACGTTGCCCTAAAACACCAAAGACCAACATGCCAAACAAATAAAAAGTGCTGCGCTGCTGTACAGTACTCGGTTGATAATATGAAGTGTTTTTAAATCTAGATTTGGAATCTGTTTGTCATAGACACGCTTCTTCATCACCGTCTTCTTCTTTAGCTCCATTTTCGGCTGGCCTCTTATTTTTTGTGTTTTTCTTCAAGTTTTCTTTAATTTTCCTACTGTTCCTCTCACGTGTCCCTCCTGGGAAGCCTGGTAGTAACCTTTCCAAACAGATGGACGGATGGATAATTTTTTTTCTTCTTTTTCCCCCCAAACGGTTTCATCTCTAGGGTTGGAAGGCGCTACCGGCCGTGGCCAGGCTCATGCTTTTCAGTTTGTTGTCCTTCTTCCACTTCATCCTCCGGTTCTGGAACCAGATCTTGATCTGTCGCTCCGTGAGACAGAGCGCGTGCGCGATCTCGATCCGTCGCCGCCGCGTGAGGTACCGGTTGAAGTGGAACTCCTTCTCCAGCTCCAGAGTCTGGTAGCGGGTGTACGCCGTCCGCGCCCGTTTCCCGTCGGGGCCCGTCATATCTGAGGGTTTGGATCGGACAAAAGGCGTTAAAGGAGCGCGTTGGGAGGCAGCAACATGCGACACAAACCGCTCAGCGTTTAGAAAGAGACACAGACAGACAGTCAGCAATATAAGCTGGAAGTTTACAATGCAAAGGAACCAGTAAATGTGCTCTATGATGCCACTGGATCAGCACCTCTGTGACGCAGCGTTATAACTTATTCATAAACACACTGTTTGCTGCAGGTTTGCTGCATTGGATTCATATTATAGCCACAGGTTGTTTCTGTTATTGTGTTCACCTCATCTGTACCCGCCAAACATAAACTACAGAAAATACAGAAGGCAGAATTTCCCACATCTTCACCAGAATCAACGTGCGTAAAGACGCAGCAGCAGTGAGTCAAACTGCCCCCCAGTCCCGCCGCAGTATTTCTTGACACATTTTATTTCTGCCATTTCCACTCCACAGCCTCTGCTAAAAGAGTTGCTTTTATTTGTCACCTTACTATTTTCTTTTTTAAGCAGCCCTCTTCACCGTCACCCTGTATATTCCCCCTTTTCACTCCCTCTAGCTCCCTTCAAGATTTTATTGCCCCGTCCTCTGCCTCACCTCTCTAATAAAGTTCCCACACGTAATAAAGCTTCACTTTCAAAGGAGCAGCAGCTTCCAAAGCCTCACTGGCCTCTCTTTCTTTTTTCTCCCTCGTCTTTCTTTTCCCACCCGGCTCTGTCTGCGCTCCCCAGCCTGTTGGGCTTTGCTGCCCGGCTTGCCTCTCCCTTGACAGATTTATGACGCTTTTGTGGAATTTGCTAAAATAAAAAAATAAAAAAAGGAGGAAGAAAAGACAGAGGGGGCAACCATCCGGCGTCCCTGGCTTCTACAGGAGGAAAATGTAAAACGAATTGCACCCTGATGCACTGAAAAGACGCTAATGCACAACTTCTTCAGCTGCTTCACTGGAAGCTGTCCTGTTTGCTTATTCTCTGATTTACACATTTAAAAAATAATAATAATAATTAAAAAAAATAGTGAAATATGCACATCTGCTGTAGATCAACATAAAGCAGGTAATTCGTGCTCTCTCGGCTCAGACACCTCGCTGACGGATTTTTTGACAGCCGTATGAAAATATGAAATTGACGCAGCTGAAAAGGACTCGGTGGGGTGCAGACAAAAACAAGAAACCGTGGCTAATTGTGTGTCTTTCAGCTATTCTCAAGCAGCCAGTTTACTCAAATCAAATCAAAGCACCAATAAGTCTGCTCAATCTTTAGTGTGTATTCAAAGAGGCGCAGAGCACTCAGGCTCCCCGTGTAGCTCCAACAAGCACTTAACTGTCACCAGCCCCATGTGTCCATACATGCAGGCTGCAATCTATTGAGCCAGCAATATGAATATTATCGCCCTGGAACTTCTCTGATACAGAGCTAATAAGCTGTAAACACAAGAGCAGCATGTACCATGGCTAATGTGCAGCTTTCTCATCCAGGGGAATATCTGTGGTGTCTGAGCGTCGCTGCCGGTGCTGCCAGCGGCTGATCCCGCCGGGCCGCCCTCCTGCTTCTGCCCGGGCTGCGGGTGCCCGGTCCTGGGTGCTGGGTTGCTGCCGTGCCCGGCGTCCCGGTTGTGCTGCAGCTCCTCGGTCTCTGGTGACGCGTCGTCCAGCTCCGTGTAGCGCTGCGCCGTGCCGCCGCCGCCGGAGGAGGCTGAAGACAGGTTTGGAGAGCTGAGATTACCGCTTCCTGGTTGATCCGAGCGGGGAGAGGAGCTCTGGACGCCCAGCTTGGTGCTCTCACTACCGGGTGACAGGAGGGAGTCTGCCGCGGAGGCGAGCGAGCAGCTGGACGGCTGTCTGAAGCCTCTCTCCGCGGCCGGGGAGCCGAAGCCCCGGGAGTCCCCGACGACCGAGCCGCCCCCGAAGTGTCCTCCGGTGTTGGCGGCGCCGCTGCTCCCCCCTCCCCGGTTGGTGACCGTCAGGTCCATGCCATTGTAGCTGTAGCCGTAAGAGCCCGTCGCATGGTGCATGGTGGCGGAGGAAGAGTCCCTGTACGTCCCGCCGTTCATTGCGCCGCTGCTGGCTCCATAATTTAGCAGTTGATAGTCGGGGCCATTTGGGTAGCGCCCCGAGAACGAGTTTACAAAGTAAGAGCTCATTTAGGTTGTTTTAGAGAGTTGCAGGCTTACAGTTGAGTACTAAGGGGCGCTTGATTTGTTAGATTTCTCTTGGTCGTTATAACGCGGGTACTTTCAACGATTTATGATGTATTAGTGAATTATGGCGTTGCACTGTACTTCGTTTTTAGCTATGTATGCGCCGTCCAAATATGGGGGTGGGGTGGTGTGTGTGTGTGTGTGTGTTGGATGGAGGGGTGTGTGTGTGATGGGGGAGGTGAGGGGTGAGGTGAGGGAGGAGAGAGAGAGACACAGAGAAGGTGGGGAGGTGAGGGGGGGTGCGGTCACGTGCTTTTGTTGACCAGTCGTAAATTCTCGCCGATGACTTTGGAGAGGTAATTCATGCTCTGAGGTTTCTAATGATAAAGGGCTGGGCGGGGAAAGCGCTCTCTCTCTCCCCCCTCTTTCTCTCCCCCTCCCTCTCCCTCACCCTTTATTCCACTGCTGGAGGTGCAGGGGGTGAGCTCAGAGCGCCACCTACTGCAGACATAATTTATTGCACTGATTACAAAGACAGAAAGAGGAGGAGAGGCAGAAAGTAGACACTCCAAAAAGAGTCTGTTAGCTGTAAAATATTCTTTCTCCCCCTCCACCTCTCTCCCCGTGTGTGTGTGTGTGTGTTTGTCTCATCACTCAGGCCTGTTAATTGACCTTTGCCGAGGCTGGAAATTAGGAGGCGACGACCATAAACCATAAAATAAGCCGTTCATAATGAACACGGCGGACACGGTGCATCACATTCTGCCTTCAGCTCAGAGCTCAGGGAAGTTTCCATCCACGACTCAGGCCTACGTGGAAAACTAGAGCAGCATTAATAACAACTGTAATAATTGTAGGTATTAAAATAATAATAATGGTAGCTGTTAAAATAATAACATTAATAGCAGCATAAGAGCTGTTAGAAGATTCAGGGATGCAATCAGAAGCTCTCACAGCCCAGAGTCAGAGGTGGTCAGAAGAGGCTCGTTTCTGTGTATTTATTAAAATATCTGTGCTCTACTTATTGATGCTCAGCCCAGTCAGAGTGCCAAAACTCTCCTGTTTGCTTTGCATTGTACAGTCTCTCCTCTATTTTTGCTCTTTCTGTATCTTGCACCACAAACGTCACACAAATATGTTGTAGATTCAAAATTTCCCTGTAAAAACAAAAACACTTTGACATGAACTAGCGGATCCCCACCACATTCCTGTTGTCTCTCACACACTTACAGGCCATGCAGGAGAGTCAGATTGGCTTCTTTCTTTCTTTCTTTCTTTTTTCTTTCTGTCTTTCTTCTGCTGCCCTCCCTCCCTCCCTCTCCCCTTTCATTCTTTCTCCCCTGCAATCTCCCTTCCAGCTGCAGAGGAGGAATGTTAAACCTGATCTGTGACGTCCACACTGGATGGAAATCTGCTGATTTATGATTTGTTGATTCCCTGGTTGGGATGCATTTCAGCCGGGGTGCCTCTGTGTGTCTGGGTGTGCGTGTGTGTTTGTAGTAGGCCTCAGTGTGCGCTGGGCTGTGCATGTTTCATTGTAAGTCCGACACGCCGCCCAGAACAGGGGACACATGAAGAATTCCAGATTTTTGTGTGCGTGTGTGTGTGTGTGTGTGTGTGTGTGTGAAATGATACAAATGAATGTACTCTGTGGGGGAGTGTGTGTAGCTGCAGGCCACATTTCAGACACTCAGCTGCTCTCACACTGAGTGTCAGCCAGACGAACCAGCAGTTGCTATGGAAGTCATCTTGAATATAACAGAGCAGTTAGAAAAACACGACAGCAACAGGCAGCAGCGGGGGGTTAAAATCCACAAAACGCATCAAAGATTTATTATTTCATCCAGTGGAGTTTTCATATAAGCACTAAGTCAGCCGGCCGCCGGCCCCAAAGCAGGCCGGAGAGCCTAAAACGCACAGAGCTCCAAGTGTACCAGGAATGGCCAGGGACAAAGAGGAGGAGGCACTGACCCAGTTGGCACACACTTCTGAACACACTCCCCTTGTTATATATAGATTTCCACCATCACAGTGAATATTTGGTCTATGAAGCAGCTCACTAAACATTTTGGTCCAAACAAATTCCACAGTTTCTGATAAGAGCAGTTTGGTGATTCTTCTTTTTTTTTTTTTTTTTACCTCAGCATAGAGAACTGGAAGCACTGAGCTCCTCAGACATGTGCTGTTCCCTTCATGTATTATCATCTGGATCCTTTTTAATGTGTTTTATCACATTTTTGTTTGGCATCTCAAAGGTCACGATGCTCAGGATTCAGAGGCTCAGTCTGTGTTAAAGCAGGATGCTTCATTTGTTTAGAATCATCCTGGAAAAAAGGAAAAAGATCATCCCACATGCACCCACGGCTCCTCGTAATCTAAGTCCTCATTTGAGGCAGCGCTCAGACGTTAGGATGCTCAGGTTTGGGAGATATTTGTATGTTGTTTCAGATTTATGGTCTAATAAAACACTTTCAAACTCAGTCAACTCAGAAAGTTTCACAACTCCTTGAAACTTTATCTGGAGGCTCCAGACCTTCAGTAGCGGATATAAAATACAGACAAAATAGAAAACCAGAACTTCTTTTTTTCCTTTTTGTTGCCAAAAATATGAGAAACACCGAACACGTGTGTGCAGTTAATGTATGTAAAATGAGCCCTGTGGGTCACCGTGGAACCAGTTCCTCTGTGTTTAACATAGAACATCTGCCAGCACGGACTTTCTCCTGTTAGGCACCTTGAAGTGGAATCAAACCCTGAATATGATCATAGCCTCAAAATAAGAGAGAGATGTACACATGAAGCAAATCTAATCTTTAGCTTCATTACACTCAAAGTCAGTCATGGGGTCATTTGATGGTGACTCTGAGCCGGTTCTGTATTTTTTTGTCTCTGGATATTTAACTGAGTCTCACTTCAAATTAAACGTATTGAGTTAAATCTCTTCTCTCTCACAGATGCTGATTATTTACTGACAGCCTCTCCTGGCAGCACATCTGAGAACTAAACAGAGAAGCTTCTTGCTCACACCACATGAAAGATCCTGAACGTGTTCCTCCAGCAGGCACGCGCTCAAATATAATATCATCATGTAAATAGGAGGGAGGCTTGTTTTCTGCCTAAACGCTAAATAACATCACTGGATCTGTGTTTGCAGCACGGATCCCGTCAGGCCCGCGTTCACAAACGTTACAGAAACATTTCCGTCTCGGTTGAAATGTGGTTTCCAGCTTCGTGATGCTAACAGCGTTATCATGTTTGTATGAAATAACGAGTGGTGATGAGCAGCACGAGACCGGCTAACACACACAGAGGCCTTTTATGTGTGTGTGTGTTAGTGAATGCGCGCGCATCGACGAAACTCAAGATGGAAGCCGCGCGCCGGTCACTCAGGGGACACGCAGAGTTCACAGGGTCACGAGGACATTGTCCACTTTGTCTGTCTGAAGTGTGTGTGTGTGTGTGTGTGTGTGTGTGTGTGTGTGTGTGTGTGTGTGTCTGGCTCGAGGACAGGTCAACTTTCTCTCCTCTCTTTGCTGCTCATCAATTAGCAGAGCGCGCCCTCAGCGGCAGCTCTCGCGCCCTCCTTGTCACTACTTCCCCTCCGGACCGCCGCGTGCGTTTTTTCTTTTTTCTTTTTTTTTTTTTAAACTCTCCCCGCGGGCCTCGCTCTCACCCCGCGCGCCGTAAATATGCGCGCGCGCTGGAGTTAAAAATAAAATTAAAATTAAAATTAAAAAAGGCTCAAAGGTTTAGTCGCGGGAGTAAAGCAGGTGATAAAAACCAAGGCCGGATGTTCCGCTTGGTTAATGTTGGAACTTTGTCAGAAGCCAAACAGCAGCCGGAGCCTCTCTGTGCAGGTCTTTACATTTTATTGAACAGCTCTCATAGGTAGTATATGCAAGTACTGACAAAACACTAACAGAAACAAACAATGTAAAAATCCATAAAATATACACTTTCCTGAACGAGTTTAGGTAGTTTTCAGAATAACATCAGTAGGATAACACCCCGCCCTCCCCCCGCACCCTCTCCATATTGGAAAACAGCTGGAAAAGTTAAATTACCCCCACCCCCACCCCCCCTTACATTACCCTCACCGTACAAGGTGTGTTTTACCCCCTCTTGCTTATTTCTATACAGTTTAAATATGAACACAATATGACATAGTTACACTTCCCCCATAGTGTTTTCCTCCCCGGGCTGGTGTGTGTGTGTGTGTGTGTGTGTGTGTGTGTGTGTGTGTCCAGAGTGTGTCACTGAAGGTATCATACACACAGCACATCGACAAAATAACGAAGAACAAAAAAATAAAATTAAATCGGGGAGGAAAGTCAAGTCCTAAAGCTCCAGAACAAGTGCCTGACGGGTCGGAAGAACATTGAACCGGATCGGAGCAGGAACCTGCCAGAGTAGGAAGTCGGGAGTTTTCTTGGAATGCAGCAAGAAACTGTTTGGACGCAGCTCGTCACCGTCGGGCGGCTGATTACTGATTTACTGGAGACGGTTTTTATTTCTTACACTGGATGAACAGCACGCAAACCACATTTTAATGTTCTGCTTTCTCATCTCTTTCCTCATTTTAATGAAGGAATTCCACAGTTTCACGGCTCTCTCTCTGTACTCCAAATTATTATTTCCAATTAGCAGAGCGCTCAGAGACGCGGCCTTCAGAGGCAGGTGACCTGAGAAGGACCGAGACAGGAATCATCGTGGCCCTCTTTTTTTTTTTTTTTTTTTTTTTTTTTTTTTTTTTTTTTTTTTTTTTTTTTTTTTTTTTTTTTTTTTTGTCCCCTCCTGCTCAGGTAAAAAATAAAAATCAAAGGAACTGCAGGCTACATTTTCCCAGAGTTTTCCCACCAGACGAACGTCTGGACGAACTTTGAGACGGGAAGGGGAAGGGAATACCCAGCATGTCTTTTCCTCCACCCTCCTCTTCCTCTTTTTATGTGTTTAACATGAGTTTATTTATTCTCCCTTTTTTTCTCCTCCTTCTTTTCCTCTCTGTAAATTCACTCCGTCCGTTTCTCCTCTTCGTCTGCACCGTTCACCGTGGACGAAGAGGAGGACGACGAGGAGGAAGAGGAGTTGATCAGCTTGTTCTCCTTCTTCCACTTCATCCTCCGGTTCTGGAACCAGATCTTGATCTGCCGCTCCGTGAGGCAGAGCGCGTGCGCGATCTCGATCCGCCGCCGCCGCGTGAGGTACCGGTTGAAGTGGAACTCCTTCTCGAGCTCGAGCGTCTGGTAGCGCGTGTACGTCTGCCGGCCGCGTCTCCCGGGGCTGCCGAAGGTCCCTGAGAGGGGAGAGAAAGTTACACGTTAACCGGGCTGCTGATCACACATCAACCGTCCTGCTGACGGAGGAGGAACCGGCGGTTAGCCGCTTTAATGATCAGTTTATTATTCACTTCTATTCTATTCTATTCTATTCTATTCTATTCTATTCTATTCTATTCTATTCTGAAACGCAGTGACCTCATTGGTTTTGTTGTTTCATATAATCTGCCCTCCTCTCCACCCACCAATCGAAGATCAATAGAACTGAATCCATCCTCTCATCAGTCCAACAGTGTTTTAAGCGTCCTTCTAAAAATGCGCATCGAGCTGCTTCACGTTTCTATTAAATCCCTGTTTGGCTGCTAAAAGTGTTTTGTTTGGTTTTGTTTTTCTTTTTTTTTTAAATCTGACACAAATTTTTTTGAACGCCATAAAAAATAATAACAAGCAGCCCATTTCTGAATTAAAGTTCATGAACTGTGCTTAAAATAGTGACTTCTGTAGTGAAGTCTGAAGGAGTTTCAGTGTTTAGAGGAGAAGAAAGGCGCGCTTTGTTGGGAGGCTTCCCCAGCACGCACTGATAATAATTATAATAATAATAATTAGAATTATAATAATAATTATAATAATAATCAACAGCAGCTATGTGATAACAGCACAAGTCAGGACATATATGACAGGGTATTTCCCCCGATGAGGAGCACCTTCCAGGGCTTTACTCTCCTCTGTCCGCGCTACCAGGAGGCCTGCTTTGGCCCCTGGTGCTGAACACATCGCCATGTTGTCAGTTTAGCAGCTTCACTTTCTGTATTGATCTGAAAGGCAGATCATGGATGGAAAACCGCACAGTGCTCAACTCTAAAGATCCACGAAGGAGAAACACACACACACACACACATAAACACACACACACACATAAACTCACACACATATAGAAACCCTCCAAACCGGATTATGAGGAGTACGCGGGGCTTTTGTGCCACTCTGTTCTCTCTCCAGCTGCCATTTACATCTCCAGCTATCATTTATAGCCCGCTCTGCGTTCTGCTCCTTATACATTTCTTTGCGGCGGAGCCTGTTTCCACCTCATCTGTCATAACTCGGAGTGTCCTGCAGGGCTTTGTACAACAGTAGCCCTGCATCATCCACCATTACTCACTTCACCCTCAACAGGCCGTTTTTCCTCCGTTAAACACAGATACTCTGGTTTAGCAGCACAGCATCCCACAACAGCTATTTTACAGTTTGCCTGAGCAGTGCGCTGTGGATCAGGGCAGAGCTGTGCGTATTTTGGGGAGTCAGATAAATCATATTAAAGTTGGCCCTGCATGGCTCACTTTCACTCCGAACTTGGCAGCACTCACAGGCCTGATTATCTAATCGGTTTTGAATAAACAGTGTCTGCGGTAAAAGGTTAACAGTAAAGGCTCCATGTGAGATAGCACAAGAGAAGTGGTGATAAAAAAAAATAGCAGCAGGAGCTGTGATATCAGTCTGCCTTTATCAGCAGCGGATACAAAGTTTGCACAAAGAAAAGAACCTGATTTCTCTTTAAATGCATTTAGTTAAAGGTTGTTATTGGATTTTTATACCTGATGTTTGTTGTTTGAAGGTCTTTGAAATAGAAATAACGTTTTAAAAATGAAATGTGTGGAAACAGCCAACAGATAGCTGCCTAACACTGTCAGCTTTTGGTTTCCTCTCTGTCCACAGCCTCTATCTTTTTATCTGCTCCTTGTTTTCACCCACAACACTCTATGACAGGCTCTTCCTCTGACTTTCCTTCCCTCTGCTCGGTAGCTGCGTCGGTCAGCAGGTCACACACAGTAACTGGAGCTACAACCCAAACAAACCCGGTTTATGACGGACAATAAAATACCGAGCACATGACTGAGTGACAGGCCAACAAACGGGGATCATAAAGCAGCTACTGAGAGAGGAGGAGGGCAGCGAGCAGGGAAGACAGCGGAGCGGCTGACAGAGGAAACAAACGTCAGCTTTATGACGGGGATCATAAAATATGCAAGAAAGAGGGGAAGAGGAAGAAGAAGACACTCACCGTTGCACGCGTTCATCCGCTGCATCCACGGATAAATGGGGGCTGACGCCGCTTGTTTGTCGTCCATCGCTTCACCGAACAGCCCCTTCCCACCGAGCCCCGCGCACTCCGCTTTACGGTGCATGCCGTCCGGGCTGAGCACGAGCTGGTGCTCCTCCAGACTGCACGGGTGCTCCTTGTCCCGGTAGAAGCTCGTGGCTGCCGCTGCAGCCGCCGCTGCCGCCGTGGCGTAATCGCAGGCACCGGCTCCGGTCGCGCCCCCGACACCGACCCCTGCCGCCGCCGCCGCCGCCGCCGCCGCACGGTGCCCGCTGTACGCTCCGTTGGTCGCCTGCTGGTAGTAGGAGGACGCCGGGTACGGTTTGTCCTGGTGCACGCCGCCTCCGCTGGCGCTGTATGCCATGGCTGCGGCAGCCGTGACGGCGGCTGCCCCCGGGTAGTGCCTGAGCGGGTGGTCGGCGGCGTATCCCGACGAGTAAAGCGGGATCTGACCCAGGAACGACTCTGCCGCCGCCGCCTGCCCTCCTCCACCCGTTCCCGGTAGCGTCACCGGGAAAGAGGAGTTGACAAAATAGGAACTCATCGGGAGAAAGTAGGAGAGGTGAAGAAGGGGAGAAAAGAAGAAGAGGAGAAGAAGAGGAGGAGAGGGGAGGACAGGAGGGCACGAAACAAACACAACAACAAGGTTCACGCGATGAAGACGCAGAAGGGGGAGTAGACGGACGGAGGCTGACGGCTAACGGTTCTCCCTCCCGTCCTCCTTCCTCTGCCTTCCCCTGCCTGCACTTTATGATTTGTTGTGTTTTATAGCCGACAGTCCGACGGGCTGCTGCTATCACTTAGTTTATCGCAGATTGGGAGGAGGGGGTGAGGAGGGTGAGGAGGGTGAGGGTGGGGGGTACCGGGGTGGCTGAGTGCCAGTGTGGGACAGAGAGAGAGAGAGAGAGAGAGAGAGGGAGGGGGAGAACAAGAGCGAGCGAGTGTGTGTGTGAGTGGAGAAAACGGGATAGGGTGAGGAGGGGGATGAGGGGGGAGGCACAGACCAGCTGACCTCCCGCTGACCAATGGGAAGCCTCCGTGCCTGGCATTCGTTCGCCCCTTTTCCTTTCGTTGGAGAGAGGAAGAGGAGGAGGAGGAGGAAGAGGGAGGGAGGGGGTCTGGGAACTACTGTGACCCCCCCACAGCACCACCACCACCTCCACCACCGCTCTCCTTTCCTATTTCCCTTCTTCAATCTCCCGCTCTCTCTTTAATTCTCATTCAGTCTCTTTCTAATCTTCCTCCGGTTCCCGGTGAGATTGCGCAATCACACCGGAATCCTCCGCGCGTTAAATTGATTCTTTCTCTCCCTGTGTGTCTTCCTCCGTCTGTTGTTGGGCCCATAAAAGCCAGCAGCTCTCTCAAACACACTAACGCTCACACGCACACGCGCACTCCCGGAGGGGTGGAGGGGTGGAGGGGGGGTGCTGCTGCACCACTAGAGGCCACCGAATAATAAAACATATTCCCGGCGCTTTGCAGATAATACCGAGCGCATTAAAATGAATTTGTCGAGCGTAAATCACGGCCGGGAGCGCGCATGACTCATGTGTGGTCCCGTGTGTGTGTGTGTGTGTGTGTGAGTTAGCCTTCAGTCTAATGTGGGCTACGCTCTCCTATAATTGAGGTGTTTGTATTTGCAGTTGGTGTGTTTGGTCGGTGGCAGATTTACGCGCCGCTCCCTGGTCAATATGTGCGCCATGTTCCCACCGCAGGCTTTTCATCGCGGTTATTTTCGCCATCATAAGAGCAATTGATAATCTGCAAAGGATTTTCAGAGCATAATCTGATAGCTGTTAATGTTTTATTGCTGACAGATAACCCGGGACACGCGGACCCGTCCCGGGTTCTGCTGTGTGAACGCCGCGCTGCTGCTGCTGCTGTGAAACTGGACTCAAACATTCTGCAGGAGTCCGCTCGGTTTGATCAATGCGCGCCGTGAATTATTATTTTCCTTCTGCTGTGACACTGATTAGGCTGAAATGTAAAAGGAGAAGAAGAAAAGAAACAGCCCCGAACTTTCCCATTTTTCGCCCGTTTTCTTGACACTGATTATAGCCCCGCTGCTGAAGCTCTTTCCGAGGTGGCCATACATCCAGGTGAAATATATTTAATTCAGATCGCCCCAAGTATACATGCTACGGCCATAAGAGAGAAGGATGTGGCCCATCATTGATTCATTTAGCACTTTTAGAACTTGCACCGAATTAATCGCATTAATTACAAATTAGCAGCCATCAGTTCCTCCTGTTCAGACCAGAAGCCTCAGTGCAAATAACAGGACATTTAAAAACAGAATAAATAAAAATAGAAGCAACATAAAGTCTGAAAAATAGAGTAATAATAATAATAATAATAATAATAATAA